GGGTAGAGAAAGAGGATTAAGTGGAGGAAGCGAGGGAAAGAGACAGACAGGGGGCGGGAACAGGGACAGAGATGTGTGAACAATGATGATGAAAATGCTGAAGAGAGATGCAGAGGTTAGCGATGGGAATAACACCCTCACGATTCAATTTGCCGCAAAATTATTCGTTCCCTACAGATTTCTGCAAAAATTATTCAGGTTATTAGTAAATTTGATAGGTAGTAAATTCGATATTGAAATGTTGTAAAATGTACTGTTAAATGAAGTGCGAACTCAAAATATTGAGAAAGAAAAGATAGAAAAAAAAGTGAAATATGGAAACTGTGGTATAGAAAGTAATAGTGTCAATTTGACAAATCTATACCTGCTATATTTACTACTGAATTTGTAAATAATAAAATGTAGAATTTGGGAGAAGCACGAATCTGATTAAAAACATATATGCACAAACAAAAATGCATTCATTTAAATGAATTCCTCTTCCAACAAATATGCATACCAACCACATAATCCATAAATTTAATGCGCTAATTGCTTTAAAATTCAACGGTATATTGCACATTTCATTTCAGTTTATAACATCGAAGCGAAATTATTCCTTTTAATTTATAATATTGAAAAAGGTCGTATATCTTTTGAATACGTATTCATGTTATTTTACCTTACGCTACTGAATCGTTAATTTATTAAATCGGATAAGTTTACATGTTCAGTTTTTAAACACATAAAATATGTGTCTGTATTTTCAATATTTTAGCACTTTTTGATTCCAATATCGGTCCTAACAATCTCAGGTACAAATCTCTCTAGGTGCTGACATAGGTCTAAACACTCTTTCATAGAAACAGCTCGTTTATGCACATACATTAACTAGTAGTTAAGTGGATACAGGATGTTTAATAAATTTTAAACAGCTGACGAGTACGATGATATCGCACAGAAATTTAGTACGGTAAAATGTGTCAACTGTTTGATTTTATTGGCGGTATTAATAGCACCGTAACACCGGTCCGATGATAATTATAATTTACATCCTCTATAATCTCTGTCGCTGCATTTGAATATTATATGCCCTAAAAGTTGATGTCCCGATTAACAGTCCATTAGCACTTAAATTACGGGCAACGTGATTCAAATGGAATTAAAATCGATTAAAAATTACTAGATAGATAGAGGAACAACTTGATTAAAATTTACACGAGAATATTGAATATCATATTCGCCCCTTTCCCTTTGAACTCGCCTACTTCTTTCCATCAAACGAAAGCAAAAATTTCGAAATGGAAAACGGTATTGATTACACTGTTGCATAAATATGCATTTTTCTTTTCCAAATCTCGTCCTCGCGAAACGATTAGTAGGATTATCTGGCATCGATTGAAAATGTTCGAAGGGTAATCGAATTAGTCCCATCGCTAGCTCGTACACACACATTATGAAAGCACGACGAGAACGAGAGAGATGCAGGAAGAGGTTGAGCGGAAACAAGCAAGAGAGAGAGACGAGAGAGAGAGGTAATACCGATGGAAACCTATTACCATCTATCTCAATGCCGGTGTAATGGATGCGCAGCCCCGATTATCAATCCGTAATAATTGTGCATATTAAACGGACGCTAATTATCGGTCCAGCCGCGGGCCACGGCCACCACCGGTAAATTGTGCAAGTTATGCTGGGTGTGTACGCTGTTAAAACACGGGTACGTAATGACGGCTGCGGAAAAGAGCTACGCCGAAAAGATAATTACGTTGGAAATCACTCTGGACGAATGTAACGCGAGTGATATAACCGCTCCCAGTAAATTGCGAATTAATTTTACAAAACGCGGGGATATATTAATTTAATGATCGTCGCAGATCGAATCGTGTCAATCGATTCAATTACGCGGACATTGTTCGTTAGAAGCGTTTCGCCATTTTCCTTCACGCGGACCTCAACATTTTATGCACCATTTTTTTTATTTTAATCGAATTTGCAACTTCTATTGATTTTTATGAATGATTTTAAAATGTGAGCTTCAAGTTGTAAATAACTTAGACGATCTTCATTAGGGTGAATTTGTTAAATCTTAATGATGATGATGACGAAAGACGATACCTATTAGTGTATATCATTTTATAATTATAAAAAAGGAATTATTGAGTAAGTAGTTAGGTGTTGGATGGCTAACATCTTCACAGTAGTATTGATAGACTAAAAGTGTTTAATCAGGTTTAATATCCATATGTTCATTAAACATCTTCATGTTTAATATCCAACCAGATGGGTTACTTATTATGATCTAGAATTAAGTTCAAATTCAAGTCAGAATCAATTGTAATGTACTACATGAGTTTGATAATAAATACATTTTACTTTACAGATTAAATTTCCAAGAACTCTAGTTCCTATAAAAAAGAATGATGCTTTGAACCATGTTCATAATTAAACCGAGAATTAAGTGCGCGAATGCAGGGTACACGCCAGAAGTTAAAATCCAAGCGATAAAATTCTATTAACTAAAATCGATCGTTCTCGAATCGCACCTTCTAAACGCTAATTAATGAATCGCTATCAAAGAATCAGCGACGCGTTTTAACCTAATTATCGGTTGTCCGGCAAGAAGTTCGTTAAAAATTTCGTGTGCTTTTCATATCCGATCCCGGACAAAAACTCGACTCCCTTTTTTCTTCCGTCCCTTTTTCCCCGGCTGGTATTTTGCTGTCAAAAGATCGTCGATGCGACGCGAATCGGCCGTAACAGCCGCCAATCACGCTTCCCCGTTCCATCCTCGTCGATCCATGCACCGTTTCCCGAATCGATTTACTCTATCGTCGAACTTCTTGCCAACACGATCGATCGCGAAACGATCCCGCGGCCCACTCGAGAGATCGTAACGCGGGAAACACCGGCCCCTGGAGCGGTCTCTCGAGCCTTTTTTGCCTGCCCGGAGCGCTTTTAATAAACGCGCGCCGCGCCCACCAGCCGCTTTATGCTATCAAGGCTGGGGTAAAGGGCGCGAACGGAGCATAGAAAGAGGATAACGAGACAGAGAAGAACGCCGGTGTATTCGACGACGAGCTTTTTACGGCCCTGTGTTCCGCTGTTCGGGGCTTTTACGTCCATTTCAGGTTTCCGCCTCTTCCACGAGCTGCCTGATCCGTAGTCACCTCTATTTTCTTCTTCGCGCGTTCTTCCACTTTCATCCACTCTACGCGTCTCACCCTCTTCAAATGTGACTCCATTCTACCTTTCTTTTCTCTCTTGTATTAAGCCGTCTTCCAAGACCTCGTTCTTACAGTTCAAAGTATCTTTGATTACGATTCAGGCAAGTAATAACGAGTATCGAGGTTCGGAACTTCCCATTCGAACAACTCGCGTCAATCAGAGACAGGCAGAAAATTGTACAAGTTGACGATACACAAAGAGTTTGCTGATTCAAAAATTTTGTGTCTTTTGTGTCCTTGAGTATCTTCAAACTTCGAAATATTTTTACATTTAAAAATTTGAAAGTTTGATTAAGAAAGTGTAAATTTGAAATTACGTGGAAATTAGACTGAGAAGATGAATATGTGGAAATGTAAGAATTTAGAAATTTCCTAATTTGAGAGTCATCAAATATGAATATTCGTGATTTGTATTTGTAATAAGAATTTCGTAGAAGTTTTAAAACTGCACTAACGCGTTCATCACCGTGTTATATCACAAACTCTCTCTCTTTCATCGTTCTTATCCGCGAGAACGATTCCCAGTCGACCGATTTAATTTGTTTCACGGATATTCTCCTTCACCGAGGTACGCTCTAATTTCTTTCACCGGATGAAATTTAACGTGTTCAAAGTCATTCCGCGAAGTGAAACACGCTTCTTCTGTTCGTCGTCCCGATTCCATCGGTCAATCTCGGTAAAATCTGACCCGAGGTGCGAGAAGCGCCACGCGAACCATAAAACCCGGGAAACGTTCGGATTTTACGAGCGTCGTATCCGTTTCCATCGTTCAGACGAGCGGACGACGGGAAATCGACGCGTATTTCGTCCACCCTCTTCGAAATCCGATCGCTCATCGTCGAGCATACAATCGGACGTCCGAATAGCGGATCATCGCTCTAGATTTGTTTAATTCCTCCGGCCGACTACTACCAGCTCCGAGTCTCTTTAGCTATCGATATCGATTGAATCTGGATTAAATATTATCCGAATAAATTGTTCGAAAAATATGTGTCCAGATAATTTACTATCTGACTACGTTCGGAAATCGTGTGATTCGAACGGAATAATTTTTTATTTGGAATATTTATTAGATTCGCAAACTAATTATGTGGTGTGTCTGCTCTTGGAAATTTTCTACAGAGTAGAAGTTTAGAACTTGTATGAAAATATTAAAAATATGTTACTTTTCTAATGTAGCAAATTTACAAATCTTCAAATAATTGAATTTAATATTAAAAAGCTAATCTTCGTTTAATTAAGATATAACTATCTTTCGAGGTACGATTTTAAAAATGAAATACTTCTCTTATTTGAATACACGAATTTTATAATATTCAAAAATATATTTCTCTAAAAAAAAAAAAAATTGAGCGAGTTTGAAAAAAATCAAACGGCGCAAGTGGGTCAAGGGGTTAAAAAACGTAAAAAATTTCATGTTAAAAATATGGTTCAATTTAATCGTAAAATGTGGTAGAAAAAAAAATGAAAGTATAAAGATAACAGGTGATATTTCAAAAAGATTAAACGTTATTAGCACGTGTTGCGTGTATTTATGGGTGCTGATGTCTTCCTGGAAGCGAATCTGTCGCTGGGAAGAGTTCATCGACTTCTCGAATGCGATTATCGTTTCGCTCAGCGTCGAGATTCGTCGCTTTCACGGTGGATTGAACAGAATTTCGACGTCGCGTGCAACGATATTGCTATTTACGCGCGAATCCCTCTACGATCGAAATAACTGTATTCGTTGTTAATAGACTGTGATCGATTGCTCATTCGCCAAATTACATATTGGTTCAATTATTTTATACTCACATGCCTCTCCTCGGCGGGATTAAGACCTGTAACAAATCAAACGATATCGTTAATTCTAATACAATCTTATTTTCTAATATATCATTACCTACATTTATTTATTCTAAAAACTCAATATACTAATCTTTTTTAATACTTGAGTTAATTAACATTTAATACAAAAATAAATTCGAAGAAAATCACATAATAAGTTTATTAGACAAACTTAAAGAACGATAAATTTAAAATCTGAATTAAATAAAAGATGGGCAAAGTCTCAGCCAACTAAAACGATTAACGCAGAAAATTGAACGAACGAAATGTTGAAGTAGTTTCGTACCATTTGTCGAAAGTATTAGTTTATCGTGTGAAGAATTTAAAGAAGCGATGAGACTAATTGCACGAACTGGAACGAGGTGGAAACACGCTGACAATTATCGAGATTTACCGTTGATCACACCGAGAATCTATCCACCGTATACTTTTTGCCCTACTTCAAACACCGCTCTCTTCCCCGGGGGACACCGTATTTCCCGGGAAATTGAAGCTTCACAATGTTTCTCGTGATTATTGCGGAACTAACTCTGACGGAGTCAGCGGTATGCCGGGAGAATCTTTTCCGCGCTGGGAACGAGATAAAAGAAAAGAAAAGAAGAGAAAAAAAAGAGGGGAAGCTGTCAGGACGAAAGAGAAGCTAGACTTCTCGAGGATTTCCGAGAAGGTAGGGCGAATGAAAGAAAAGGTGGGTCGAGGAAAAAGGTTGGAAAGGATCCTGAACGGGAAGCTTTGTCCTCGAGAAGCCGGCTTCCTAGTTTGCCCTCGCTCGATTTCCTCAACCCCCTGTTCTTCGTCTCTTTCGAAAGCACACTTTGTCTCGTAGGAAATATCTTAACGATATCTTTCTCCTGCTGTCTTTTACCCCTCTTAACAGCTACACGAATCAATTTTGCATCCGAAACGGATGTAAGCTATTGTATTAACTCTACGAACCGATTAAACTTATTAAACAACAACGAGATTAATTATTATTTTTATCGACACTTTGCGAGCGATCTTTACCCTCTCGACTTGGAAGATCAAAATTATATTTGCTCGTATTGAAATATTTTATTTATTTAAAATAAGGTAAATCTTTAAGGTAAATGAATTTATTAAAAAAGATTCGCAAGATTTACAGGATCAAACTAAACGTGAAAGACTTTTCTAAAACGCAGGGTAAAACTGGTGCTCACTTCCTGAGCACCTTAAGTATAAACACGACCTAAGGCCTATTGACTCTGAAGACAGAGTCGAGGCTTTCATTGTAGACCCAGTGTCTCTCAACTAAATAGTAAATTTATGTTTGTTCATTAATTAAAACGGTAATTCAAGGAAGAAATCAAAGTTTCTGTAAGCGATAGCTCTCCCTATCAACCCATAAATTATCAAACAGTCGTTAAAAGTAGATAGCGTATCCCGGTAAAAAGTACAGACCTACAAAAAGGATACTAAACGCTCGTAAGGTTGCGACGTCTACAAGAAATCCAACCTCGAACGGATACAGTTCTCAGCGGGTGGGCGGAAAAACTCGACGCCATAAAGTTAGCGGCGCGAGTCGTGCCATTTACAAATAAAGTAATCCCCGGAATAGCACGCTTTACGCGTCGATAAAACACGCGTCCGCGCGAGGGTAGCGCGGTTGCGTGTTTTATGGTCCACCAAATTAAGGAAAGCCTTCGTACGGCCAGAAGGATCCACCCTCGGTGCCATTACCGAGTTGTCGAGGGGTGGTGAATCGCGAACGCGCGAGGGTCGTGAATTTTCCGCCATCCGAGCATCTTCCGCGCGAGGAGGAACGAAGATGGAGAACCTGGCAACGAGTCTTGCTCCCGCTAATATTCTCGTTCTCGGTGTGCTTCGACCAGCGCGAGAAAACAGTTTCAACTGTTTCCCTCGGCCGGATCGTTCAACTTCCTGCCGTGGCTCGTAAACGGACGCGGAAGAGCGCGCATAATTTCCTACTAAAACGCGAAGAGCTCGTTTGCCGCGCGAGACCGAGCGCACATGCTTCGACGGAGACGTCTTCGAAACGCGCTTCGCCTTTTGCGGCATCATTAAGGGAACAGGAAGTATCCAGCTGCAAAAAGAGCTCTTTATCAACCGGGCGACATGCTTGGACGAACGTGGCGGAAGAGTAACGCGCTCTGAAACTTGTGAGAATCGTAAAATACCTATGGATGTCTCACGAGTTAGAGCTCGAACTTTGGCTAAGCTAATAATTACAACTTTCCAAATTCTCGAAGGTCCTAATATCACTTCTACGTACCCTCGGATTACTCAATTTTCCAAAGCTTCAAATCCTAAATGTGAAAAATTTGCAACACCTTAAAGTCGTGTCTGAAAATTTTCGAAATGTTCGGAGGGACTTTGTGGACAAGTACCGCGTAATCTATCGTGATTCGAATGGCTTGCAAAACCGCTCGGAGAACATAAAGAAGCGAAGTAGCGGCCATAAACGAGTTAGCGATGGCGAAATAAGTCGTGCACGGTTTAACGATCCGATCGCCATGGGAGTAAACTTCTATTTCTTCGGACGTCACCGTGGAACAATCGAAGGAAAAAGGGCGAATATCCGATAGAATTACGAGAAGTGTACACGCTCGAAGAGCCTCGATCTCCCGAGGGACCATTACTCGCGCAAGTATCCCCGATGAAATGGTAATGCGAGCGATACCGGTTTCTAATAGTCCGTAAAAGAGTCCCATTGAGTCGGTTCGGTTCGCGTACCGGTAAATCGTTTCGCGAACGAGCGGCTAGAAAGAGTCGGATGAATGGTGGAGGGCAGATATTATGCCCGACGGTCCCGGCAGTCGTTCGACGAGAGAGAATCCCGGTAGTAAGTTGGGTGGAGAGCAAAACGATAACGGCCCTGCTGGAAACAATTCGCTGGGGGCAATGTTCCGGAAAGGAGGGAAGAAGTTTCACTAGTTGCCGCGACAGAAATAGTGGCCCATTACGGTTCCTTGCCTCCCTCGTCGTTTCGATGCTTCCCGTTGCAAAATGGTGTCGACGAGATTCCCCTTCGGTTCCCCACGGGGAAAAACGAGCATCCATCACCGCGACAGTGATTTCAGATGTCTCGCGGTTGTTCGCTAAACTGCGGCTGCAGTATCTTTGCTCAGGTGGACTTCATTGCCATGCTGCGAAATACGCATGACTAATACTCTAACTAGTGTCCTTCCTAGCAACCGATCTTAAATCGTCACGCGTATAACTCTACATTACTGGAGATACGCGTCACATCTTTTTAGATGCATACAGAAACCTCACAATAAAATACTGATTTAGAACATCGTTTGTATTTAAACTAAAAGATGGATTATACCCTATAAAAGTAAAAGAGACTTCCATTAAATTGTTTTAAAATTGAAAACCAGCTTAGCCAGACATTGTCAGGAAGAGAATCAGACAACTCTCGTGTCTACACAATAAGAGCGATGATTAAGATGAAAGTTGCATAGACGACAGCCATTCGAGATTTAATTAATTCAGGGAGATTTCAATGTTCCGGATAGATGAATAGTTAGAGCAGTCGCAAAAAGAGGATCTAGTACGAATCCCTGTCCAGTAATCCGATTGACAGAATATTTTTCTCCCTATACAAGGATTCGCAGCCGATGAATCAATCATGGAGATTAATATTGCTGTTTCGAAGCAGTGGCGTGTCAAAAGCTGCGATAACGAAGATTTTGTTGGAAGTATCCGTCCGTTGAAACATGCCATTTTTCAACATGTATTAACCATTTGCAATTCTTAATTTTTTTACCTATCAACTGGTTAATTTACAAAATAGATCAGGAAAGGGGTTCTTATTATTTGTATGATCCAAGAAGCATAGGAGCACAAAGGATTAAAAGTGTATTTCTCAACATTACACGTGCTTGTTCCTTGCTGTTATCGTACAAAGAAGTGTACCCCGTAAATAAATAAAAATTAACTGGAAGCAAAGTGCATCTGTTAACAAGTTAATCGCAGCCAATTCTCGCGATACCGCGACACGAGACACCCGATCTTCGAGACGATTCGATTTACAAAAGCCGCTGAGCTGGTGTCTCGCGTTGTTTCTCGTCATCAGCATTCTACCCACGAATATTTCCTTCGTATCGAAGAAGGTTCGTAGAAGCGTCGGTCGTTAAATCGGTCGCGTTTCTTGCAACCCGGCCTCTTGTTTTTCTGCGTGTTATCGTATGGGAAGCGAACGCAAGCGGATCCTCGCGAGACGATTTCGCGGCTGCATCGCCACCGCTTTGCATTCCGTTCGATTCCTCGCGGCCAAACGATACAAACCGCTCGTTCAGCACGCTCGAACACGAACGAAGTTAAACAACGAAATTGCGGGATAAGCGTTCCAACCGGCCACTTCCTTTCCACTTCTGTTTAATGCCGTTAACCGTTCAGCGTAACCATCACGGCTCGTTTCGTCCTGCTTGTCTCCGCTCGAAACAATTGCAGGTTGGAGTCGCGAACGATCAAAGATTAATGGAATTAGTTTTTCAAACGTTCAAACATCGTGTTCAATGACTAAGCTTCTTTGTTCGCCACCGGCTAATACCGTTTATTAGCTCCATAAGCGTTCACGGTTATTTCCCGAAGCGTTGCTCATCGTTTTCTACCTCCGCTTTATGTACGGAGATCACGCTAGAGTTTGAGATAGAGGTTCTGAGTTCTCGGAACGAGATTTATATTTTTAAAAGCACCTACAGTACACTCTTGTTATATAGTCACGGTATCGCTACGCGTTGTTTCGCGAAGCGTTAAACTACCCCACGTTGTATCGTCACGCCTTACATCCCACGGGAAGCATTCTCAGATCGCCTCAGTAATTTGAAAATTTCGAACTTGGATAATGTGAACATTTAGATTACATATGTGCATTTATACGTATGTCCACATTGCAGGATAGAATTCAGCTTGTCCACCTAGGAACCTCAGTGCGCGTAACCAAACGGAAACAAGATGGGAACTTCGTTTTCAACAATCGTTCTTTCTACGAGTAAGCAGTGAAAGAAACTTGGTTAGAAGTTTCGAGGCCGGAAATTAAACTAGCGAGTTGTATGGTGACGAACACGTGGTCGGTTCCGAGGCAATCTTCGAAGGTGTCCGTGAAAAATGAACCGTGTCAAAAGCAGGGGAAGTTATTCAGGGACGAATCGGTCGGTATTTCATTAAGGTGGCAACGTTCTGAGAACGCGAAACAACGCGGAACAACTGGCCGGAGGTTTCACTCACGGTAACATAGTTAGGCGAGAGTGCAGCTGAAGATATTGCGCGAACAGAGTGTTGAACGCGAGCGGAACGAAAAGAGAGAGGAACTGCGAAAGGGTACGAAGAGAATGACAGAGGGAAAAGAGGAGGGAAGGGCGAGAGGGAGAGAAGAGGATGAGAGGAACAGGCTGAGGGGCGCGAAGGTTTAGAAGAGCCACCTAAAGGTGGATGGAACGAAAGAGGGGAAGAGTCGGAAGTACTCTCGTGTCAAGAGGAGATTCTGAAGTGCTCTCTTGAGAGACGACCATGCACAACTAGAGCGAGCGAGAACGGAGCCAGGGAGCGAGACGCGAGCGAGCGAAACTTGTGTACGTGTATACGTGCGCGAGATAGGAGAGTCACTTGAAGCCCTCGCGACTTTGTCAGCGCTACATGGAGCCTAAGTGCGAACGTTCTTGCACTCGTATGTCGTCCCAAGAAGAGGGAGGACGAGGACGCGCCGTTGCACGAGTGGATCTCCGAGGTCAAGATCGAGGGTTCTGCGAGTTTCAGGCTTAAGCACGATCGTTTGCGTCACCGTTGTACCGCGGCCCGCTTCAAATATCCCTGCGATGCTTTCCTGTCGCCCACAACCCTGCCCTCTAACTTCACGATGGGCATCGAGCCAGTTTATCGAAACTACTTCTACAAATCGGGACTACCACTTTACAACATATTTTCGTGTTTAGCAAAAATAATGGTCCTTGATCAAAACTATCTCGTCTGCCCTACTTATAAACTATGATCTTATACTCAGGAAGATGGATGTGCAGATCGTTTACTCTAAATCAGACATGTCTGCGAATTTAGATAAATGTGGACTATGCATGCTGCCTAGCAAAATACCGTATACTAAGAAAAAGTTATTCATAATGATACCTCTGATATTAATTTCTAGAATATACTTGTAACAATAAAAATTCGAAGGTGAATTTTCTAAATTACCTAACTATTTTATCAAACAACGAAACAAGAGTAGAATTTGCAGAGTGCAAACCCTCGTGAAATTCCAACGAAATTGAAGGATAAAGAGGAACAAGAAATTCAAGACTTACCTCCATTGTGCTTCAAGTCATCAGGTTGTCCCCGATGAAGGTCCGGTTTGGTTAACATCGAAAGAGGATGTGCAGCTGTGCCTCCGGCAGTGGCTGCTGCACCGGGCGGTATACCTAATCCGAGGAGAGCGGCGGAGGCAGACGTTGGAACAGGAAGTCCAGCTCCAGGACCCAGGCCAGGAAGACCGGGTATACCTGGATGGGGGCCCATCGCGGCACTTGGTGGTAACTGTTGGGCGTGCACCTGCTGAAGCAGCCTCGGCAAGTCTGACCTTTGTTGCTGGAACGAATCGAGAGAATTGCCTTTTTACCACTTTCGGAAACCTTTTCTATCTTTCACGTCAGTGTTTTATTCGGTTTTTTATGTCTGAATAGAATTTACTATTGTATCGTATCTGAAAGGTATGACGCTTACTTGTTAATGAAATCTTATACGCTTTACAATGAATCTTAAATTTAATATACTGCATCAACATTCGTTTATCGTAGTTCGTTTGGAATTTAATATTATCCTGAGATGTAAGTGATACAAGACGTCAATGTTGCTTGCACTTTGTACGATTAAGGTCCTTGTGTTTGGCGTACGATTATCGTGTAATATCGCACGAATGTACCAAGATTCCGAGATAATCACGATGTACGAATCAAGAATCTAATCTTAACAAGCGATGATACGTTTAGATAAGTATCGAGATTAAATTGCGGATGACATCACTGCACGATGATGAAACACACCTCCGTTTGTCGACCGCTGTTATCGTAATCGCTCGATAAATTCTGATCAGGAACTCGTTTCGGTCGAGGATTCATTCTTCGCGGTCATGCCTGCTCTCGACCACCATATTGTGATACCATTCTGAATTTATTAATAATTCTAAGTGGATACTTGAATCTCCAAATGTGAAACAGATAATTAGGTCCTCTCTCGCAAATTTGTAATTAGTTACGCGTAATTAATTCTCGTCTGCTTTAGAAGCTTTTATGTTTATTAATATTAGCTATATGTGTAATATAGTGATACAATATGGCAAAAGGAAATAAGGTGTGTTATTCAGGGGGGTTTAATTTGGATGGTCTTTGGTAATTTCAAATTTTTTATTCTCAAAAATTTCCTTTTTTATAAATTCTCATATGTGTAATTTTACAAATCCCAAATGTTTAGATTACTTCTATATTTCTAATGTTTTAAATTTCAATATTTTTATATCGTCAATTTCAAAATTTGTGAAATTGAAAAATTCTTAGGTAATTCAATTTCTTATTAAGTTTTGAGATCTGTAATTTATGGACGTAAGAATATAGGAATTTCAAAGCATACGTCTCAATCTTCGCAAACGTTCGCTACCGCCCTCTACCCGACTTGTTCGTTGCTTCCTCTCGTTTCCCCTGGGCACATTTAATTTCGACGTGCGCGTACACCGTCTCTTTCTGTTTGTGTGTTTTGTGGGTGGCTCAGACAGTCGTTCGACGCTAGGTTATTATATCGTTAAACCATTTAATTATCTCGGCAAACTACTCTCCGGAATATTCGCCCCGGTCTTAACGAGTGTACACGGTTCACAGAACGAGAAGGGGGTTGGTGCACTTTGCTCCATCCCTCTTTTCGTCCTCGTCTTCCGGCCAAACTCCAGCCTTTCTTTCCTCCTTCTCCGTCTTCTTCTTCTTCTTCTTCCACGTCGTGCCGCGAACTAGCGACGTGATCTACCGAGCGTTAAAACGCTCGCTGCGTTGCTCTACAATTTGTCTGGCAGCGTTGAAACTCGACCGACACCCCCTGATTCGAGCAACTAACGAGGAAACTACTCGCGCGAGGTTGCTGTACGTTTATGGTTCCACCGAAACTTTTCTCCTTCCTCAACCCTCTCTGGGCTAGCAAAGGGGGTATGAAAGGCTGTACAAGTCTCGCCACTTGTTTCGTACTTTCGGATTTACCACTGCTGCCACCGTCGGGGAACGAGGGTTATTTAAAGCTCTGCAACCCCCTTGCAACTTTACCTCGTGATTTGTATGCTTTGCCCGGCGAAAACTCGCGGTGCTCGTAACGAACGTCGGCCAAAGACGTGGTCTCGAATAACCGACTGGCTAGAAAATTCAATTATGAACACGACTTTCTTTCATTGTTCTGACTATTACGAAAACGTTTTATGTATTGAGTTAAGCCATAAGGGGCAACAAGCTATTTATGTGAAGTACCCAGTGGAATTTCTTTGCTTGAATGAAACCTTCTACGAAAAATTCTAAACTTCTAATATTACAAATTCTACAATTTCTGACATTCTTAAAATCTGACGTGTCCTAAAATTTGTAAGTCCTCGAACTCCCACATTCCATAATCCCCAGATACTTTTCCTACAAATCATACTCCCAGTGTATTGACACAATGTACTCACATGAGCACTTTGCCAACTGAATGAGACAATGTCCCCACTTTATGGATAAAATTTAAACCGCAGTTGGCAGAGTATTAAGTTGACAGTTTAAAGAATCGAATAGCGATATCGAATGATTTTGGAGCGCGCATTGAAACATCGCGGTTGAAGGTAATTCGGTAGAAACATCGGTTCGCGATCGAGCCAGCGAAGCGTAGTGTGTTTTAACCGAAAGCTTTTCTTTCAGTCCGAACGAAGGGTCTTTCACGAGTGACGGGCAAAGAGGAAGTCATTACGAACCCCTTCATCTTCTGCGCGAGCCTTCTTACGGCACCTGCATCATCCACTGGTGCAACGCTTGTTCTCAGCAGTTTTCACCGGTGTCGCTACTTGCTGACTCAACCAACCGTGAAGATAGTGCCGCTAAAAGATCCGACGAGATCGTCTTAACCTTCTTCTATATCACGCGTCGTTGACGCCTGGAAAGCGTCTTTGGCTGGCCGTTCGTGTTAAGAGATTATGAACGTCAGCAGCATCTTGGCTTGGTTCATCTCGAGAACCGCGTGCATCTCGTTGCTTTATAAATAGACTTCTTTTTACTGGCCGTTCGCTATCGACGATCCACGTGTATTTTTTTTATCTAACGCGACAGCTGGAGGATTTAATCGACGGGGATGGCTTAACACCTTACCAGACGGGATTGGACGGGATCTTTATACTTGGTAGAAAATTCCAAGTTAAAATTATTAACTCTATAGGTGTATTTCAGGAAAAAGTTACCGATTTAATACGAGGGAGATAGAATAAAGTGTCATAGTAGCTTGTAGTGTATTGTATAAAGTGATGAAACCTTGTCTGACATAACATCATTCGTTTTATAATGCTATGCTAAATCACTCAAGTTTCATCTTAAAATATTGATGTTTTTTTATCTAACATCATCACCGAATAATGCCTCCTTCAGCGAAAAAGGTAAGGAATTTTGCGGAGGCACGAGAAATATTTTAAAGGGCAAAAGAGTTGCGTGACGCTCCTGTTTTCCTGATGCCCGAAGCTTATATCGTTTACCGGTTAATTCAGCAATGATCTCGGGGCGAATTCGGCGTTTCGTCTCGCATCCACACGGTGGTAAATTCCGCGAGTTTCTTCTTTCGATCCAGTGGCAACTGAAAGGATTTAAGGGCATCAAGAAGGCGCGGCGCGAGAAGCCGTCGAGACGAGAGAGAAACAAGAAGGACAGATGGAGAGGAAAGCGGCGAGGAGCGAAGAGGAGGGTGACGGAAGCTGGGAAGCGATTTAAAGCGCGCGGAATCCGGGGATTCTGCTAAGGATTTGCCGCACGTAGCCCGACAACGCCGCGGATCCGTGGAAGTTTCTATGGTCGGGGCGGAGGAAGAGAAGCGAAAGGGAGGATAGAGTCGAAGAGGGTGTTCGAGGGTGAAGGGAACGAAGGCAGTTGGGTAGCAGGAATGCTGATTAGTCGGTGCTCGTGCTCCGTAACACTATAACCTATCCGGCCTGGAAACCAGGCAGGAAGACTCTGGATAAGATTCGAAGGGGCGAGAGAGGAGAATCAGAGGGGTCGAGGAAAGGGGTTGCAGATCAGGGAGGCGGGCTGGATGAACGCGAGCGTAGCGAGAGGAAGAGAGAACCGGCAGAGAAGCCGGCGGCTTAATAGGGAGGAAATTGAGTGCTCGAGCAATATTGAGGAGGATTCGGGATTCGCCAGGATCGTATCCATCCGTCCGCTTTCGGATTCCTCGGGCGTGCATCGGCTTCCTCCTACCACCGACCAGGGATTCTCATTCGCCGCGAATGCGTTTCACGCCGGGATGAACGCGAATCAGACCCGACCGTATTCACCGACCATTCTCTGACGATACTCCGCACGAGTTTGCGTAAATTTTCTACCAAAAGGATTTACGATCGGTCTCGACGCAAACAATTTTATTCGACGATCGTACATCTTACGCCTAGTACAGAATTACTTTTGTCCGCAAACACGAATATAAATGTTAAAAACATAGTCTCTCTTCCTTTTGTATAATCCACTACTGACCACCCTATATATCAGACGATAAAAAATTATAAGAAGTTTCAGAACGTGACCTTAATCGTACGCAATCGTTTTCGATATTGAAACTGATTTGGACATTTACATCTGACAACTCTGTAATAAACGTAACATGCAGTCACCCGAGAAAAAAGCCTGACACCATCGTGGTCACAAATCACTTCCGACACCGTATCAATTCGTCGTCCCACGCGACACGAGAAAATTGATTTCGCATTAGGAGACATCCTACTCCGATTTCAATCGTTTGTCACAAGATTGACCCTAACCTGAGTTTCATTTTCGCGCCATTAACCACGTTCAATATCTAATTTGCCATCTAACGTTACTCTAATAGTCTTACTCTGTAAATATCTCTAAACTCGGTTGCATACTCCTTTCAGCTACGAATATGTAAATGTTCAAATTTCCGACTACTAAAATTCCCAAATTCCAATGTTCAAATTTTCCAACTCATCGAACCTTAAAATTTTTCAATTTGCGATGCTCAAATTTCTAAGTTTTTAATTTCTGCAATTTCCCAACGCTGAAATCTGGGATCAGTAAATTCCAGAACAAGCGTTGAAATTTCTGTAGAGATGAATTTGGGAATCTCCTAATCGAAGATCAACTGTACGCATTGTACGTATACGGTAATCCATATACTCGCGTGCATCGCGGAGAGTAATTTATCTTCCATTGGCGTGCACTCACCCCGATAATGGCGTTCAGCTCGGTCATGGTCACTTGTTTGGCTCTGTCAAGAGCAGTGGCGACTTGTTGTTGATGTTCCTGGGAGAGAAACGGCAGGGTCTGAACAATTATGGCGTTTAACCTCTTCGCTATCTCTGTCTGAAAGCAGAAAGGAAAACGATCCTTATTAAACTGTAAATTGCTTTACGACTGATCCGCGATCACGTAATTGAATTCGAGTAACGATCGTGCATCGCCCTCTTTCGTTCGAACGGCGCCGTTCATCGTGAACGACATCGGACTTTATTGAACGCGCGTAATGTTACTTAATTCGAGTTTTATGGAGACCACTCGATTATTAGTTTGTCACGTCGATTCGAGACTGATTTATGGCACCATGTATCAGTCCGGTGATCAAGCGAACACGAATCGACGCGACACTGTTCCACGGTATTATTTTACATACACTCGAGACTCAAAGGACATACAACCTACACCAAAATGGAGCTGTGATTCGACCAGAGTTAATCCACTGTACTCTGATTGTTTTTTCCCGAAATATTCTATGTTGGGACACGGTGATTGTGTTTTACGGATAAATAAAATTGTTTAAAAATTAGATAACGCAGTATATTATTGAATTAAATTTTTAAAACATTTTTTGTTGGGTGACACAAAACGTGGGGATGTTTTCAGTTTTATCTTCTATGTTACATACAGCAAATCAGTGTTGGAATTAAAAAACATAAATTTTCCTCTGATAAGCTATCCAATATCTCTAATCAAATTCAATATAAAAATATTTTGCATCCTCTCATACGACTGCACCTTTTAAAAAATGTATTCTAGGATTCAGATTGGAGGTAAAACGTTTCTCTTCTCGCAAAACAAATCTTACTCCCCGAAACGCGTACACACGCCGGAAAAGTGCTTACCGCTGGAAGGGTTAAATAAGGAAAGGGCTGACTAAACGCAACCCCTTGCGAGGGAAACGAGTGCAGATGCAGGTGCGGCATAACCGGTCGAGGGTGTTTACGACACCCTCCAGCCAGAACAGACTGACGGGGATTAAATTAAATCCAAGCTGAATTGGCGGTAGCGTTGGTCTTCTCTCCGTCTCTCCCTCTTTTCACCCCATCCCTGCTCAATTTTCGTCCCGACCAATGCCGTCGGGCATTACCTGTATCTGCTGCCACCTCGGCCGGAAATTAAGGTCGTTCAACGAGCAAGAAAGAAGTCGACTTGCGGCCGCGACCGGAAAACCGTCAACTGTTCCGGACAACCGACGATTCTCGATCGTTAGTCCATCACGATATTTCTCTGCCACCCTTACGGTTTCCATCCCCTCGCGTCGAATATCGTGAATTTTGCACGAGGGGTCGCGTTTCGCTCGACTCGAATTTTAATCGGCTCCAACTTTAATGAGGCCGCCGCATAATTGGAAATAATAATTCGATTAATGCATAATCGAACCAGCAACCCCTACCCTCGATTCTAGACGGCTCTCGCCGGGGTTAATTTGCGTTAACGACGCGACAAATCGATGATTTTGTCGTTATTGTTGCTCCAAGCGTGTTCGGTTAATCGGGAAACGCAGACGTTAAGTGGCGTGGTTCTGTTATTGTTCGGGGCTGTTCAATCGAAAGACAGAATTTCCATTGTTTTTTAATACCATGAATTTCGTTTGCGGTTATCGATTGTCGGTATTACAAATTTAATTGAACTTGTAATTATTGCGTCGCGTGACACCAGGACCCTCTTTTACGGACCCTGTTTCCATATTCAACTCTCGGCTGCACAAGCACTCACATTTAATGTCCCTATATTTCTAGATTCACAAATTCTCTTATTTTTAAATTCCACAGTGCTGCATCTCTAGAGCCACAAATTTCTATGTCTTCAAATTCATAAGTCGTCAAATCTAGATTCTTAAATCTTGAAATTTTTTAGAGGAGCTATAATAGACTTTGGATGACAGAACATGACTTTTCACGTTGATGAAAAAAAGTGAACAAGATTTGAAAGTATTAAATGTAATTTTACGAACGATCTTAAAAGCAGAAGAGTCGCAGATTCCACGAAATATACGGTCGTTATGAACCGGACCAATTACCAGAGAACGACTTGGCAGAGGTGTTGGCGAGCCAATAAACGGCGTCTTTTCGCACGCTGGTAAGATACACCTACACACACCGAGAGAGAAGAGAGGGAAGAGTCGCGGAAACGGAAGAAAGCCATTCGTCGTGCAACAGGAAGCCGCGCTCTTGTACCGGGTGTCCAAGGATGAAAACAGCGACGTATCGCAACCGGTGGCATTTTGCGCGAGTCATAAACGCGAAACCGTATACGAGTTGGCTGCAGACGATGTAAACGCAACCCTCGTCTATCTTCTCGGTTCTCTTTCTCTCGTTCGCGAGGTCTCGTCGTAACGGCAACACAAGCATCGCGGCCTGGCACCAGCCGTTTTCACTGCCGCTTAAACGAGCCCCGGATGCTAATTGAAATATCGCGGCCACTAAAATTCTTGGCAAGTTTCCCTCTCTCGAGCTGACGAACGAGCGGAGAAACGACGCTCCGGAAAGAAGGACGAAGAGCTGGAGGGGGCGCGAGAAAGAGGTAGCAGGGGAGTTGTTTTAATTACCCGTCGCCCTGCCGAGTGCTAGTCATTAGACCACTAATTATAACGTACGGGAAAATGAGTCGCTATCCGCGAATGAGATGTACTCGGGTACGTCGTACTCTTCCCTTTCGTATGCACGCGTGTGAAGCTCCATTTGCCTTCGATTTTATAAATTGCCAATTTTCAAATCCACATTTTTATAATCTTCCGTCTTGAAAATCCCTTTTGCTTCACTTCTCTAATATGAATTTGCTAAACTATATTCCAAAAAAATCTCAAATCTTTTAATATCTTAAAAAGCTTTACAAACTCAAATTCCCATATGAACAAATTCTGAAATTCCCACACTTGTACATTTTATTTGTCAACACTGAAACGCGAAAGTCCGAATAACTCTGAGAGCTGTACATATTTGTACATGTACATGTTTGTACATGTATGTGTATAAAGGTGACATCGAGAACGTAGAGAGGTAAGAAGAAGAGAGACAGTGCACGGTGCAAAGGTAATTGCGTTGCCAAGAAGTTTTCTCCGGTTGAAGAGGTAAGCAAGGAAATAATGAATGGCTTGGATGGTTTAGCGACGGAGAAAAGGGTGAAGGGACCAAGGAGAGAAATAGGGAAACGAACCGACGAGTTTCGGCGTTGCGAATCCTCATTGTTCCGGATTTCACACCGGCGAGATGAAAACCTTGCACAGAATGAATTTTTTCCTGGCGAGCCAAATTGGACCGCGAAGATTGCCAGTCCGTCCCGACCAACTTACGTGCTTCCTTTCTGCCGAAAGCGAAAGACGCTTTATTCCGCGCGAAAGCGTCCAGATTGCGAACGGATCTTCTTCGTAAAACGCTCCGACAAACGGCGTTCTTTTACGATAACGCAAACAATCTCGAGCCTGGTCGTTTAAACATCTGACATATATTTTCAAAGGGGAGTTTTGTGATTTCTATACAAACGGACTTTCTTATTTCTGTTGCTGAGATTACTTTAGGAATGTATAAAATTTGCTGCACTCATGGTTTAATCAAGGGAGTAGAGATTTTATGTACTGTTGTATGAAACATTTTTTGGACTGAAATTTTGTGGAGTCGTGATATGAAACATTTTTGTATGTATGTCGATATGAACAACATTGCAACTGTTTTCTGGTGAAGTTACAATGCTGTTTATGTTATACAAGGTGTCGCAACTAGTGTTTCGGAGAGGGGTTGCAGCTGATGTGATTTTGAACAACTTTTCTCTTTGGGTATCGGTGTTACTCTGTCTGATACATATGATGAAAACGATAAAATTAAGAATACAAGATGGAATTGTAGCTGGAAAGTACATGATCTCAATAGGCTGACGTGGTTCTAAACAACTTTTCCCTCTGCATGTTGATATTACTCTATTTGGTACATATGATGAAACGATGAAATTAAGAATAAAATAAGGCGGACAGTAATCGTACCTGGAAAGTACATGATTTCAATAGGATGACGTGGTTCTAAACAATTTTTCCTTTTGCGTATATGTCCCTCTACTCGACACATGTGATGAAAACCATAAAATTAAAAATAAAACAAGACGGAAAGTAATTATACCTGAAAAGTCCTTGATCTCAATAGGCTGACGTGATTCTAAACTTTTCCCTTTGCATGTCCCTCTATTCGACACATATGAAAACGATAAAATTAATAATAAAACAAGATGGAATCGTACCTGAAAAGTGTTTGATCTCAATAGAGCTAGCCCAGTATTACAACATGAAATTTTATTCCGCTATTAAATAGTTCTCGGTCATAAAACGGCATTGAAGATGCAGTCGGTGGAATCGGCGTTTGAATACACGTTCAGGATCATCTTTTTCCCTCCAGATGATCTGGATTCCAGATGTTCCCGGTTGGAAAGGTAGGTATTAGATTATCGCGTGTATATCGGTCCCAGAGGTGGAAGGAATGGAAGTAGGTGGCGGAAGAGCATTCGGCTCACGTCACCGTTTTACAGGCAAAGAATTTTATCGGCGGCACTTTGTCGCTTTGCATTTTCATGCCGCGAATGTTGCCGTGTGCCTGCTTTTAGCGGTACCCGTCACAATACGCCCGGCTGCGTACACATGCACGAGCCACTCGACGAACGCCTATTTCGCCTGCTCGAACACACAGCGTCGACGTCGGCGTCGAGACGCGAGTCGAGAGTGCACCAGGCGAAGAGCAGCCACTTTGCTAAAGCTTCTTGCGGCTTTCGCGATATTACGAGCCACAGTATCCGCGTCTTCGCTTCTAAGTGTCACGACCCCGTGCTGGAGCGGAGAGAACGCGGGACGAAGAGAAGCGAGGGTAGATCGTGTCGCAGGATATCGCTATCGTCCACGAGATCGACGACTCAAGGACTATTAAGCACTTCTTCAAGGATGAATTTTTGCGGGACTCCAAATTTGTGAAACATTCAATTTAGATATTCGATCATTCAGACATTTAAAAATTTGAAGATTTGAGAACTTAAAAGGTGGAGAATTTAGGAGTTTGAAAATTTTTACACCTATCACTGCAGTACTATTA